GTAGAAAGTAGAAAAAAGGTAACGAAATTGAGATTAATCATTAAATTAGCACTTACCTACAAATTGAAACCAGATATTAATACAATGTAACAAAAAAATAAGTGTTTAGGTTTTACAATTATTTTAATATAAAGATAGGAGACGAAAAATTAGATGAAGTGGCCGATTTTAGATATCTAGGAAGTCAAATAAAGAAGGCGCAGTAGGGATATTAAAGCAGAGGATAGCGCAGGGTCGAATCACCTTCAGTAAAAAGAAGTCACTTCTATGCTCGCGAATGGTTAATTTAGAAATTCGAAAAAGGTTGTTAAAGGTATATGTTTGGAGCACGGCGTTGAACGGGTGCGAAACATGGACAGTGAAGATTAGAAGCGTCCGAAATGTAGTATTACAGGTGAATGATGAGGATACCGTGGATAGAGAAGGTTAGAAATGAAGAGGTATTAGAAAGAATAGGAGAACAGGGGACTCCATGAAAGTCAATAAGAAATAGGAGAGATAGGTTAATTTTGTCAGACATGAAGGTCTGGTTAAAGACATATTAGAGGGAGAAACGGAAGTTAAGAGGGGTAGAGGTAGACCTAGATTAGATTACTTATCGCAAATATTTAAGGATATGAGTTGCTCTAGCTTTAGAGAAATGCGAAGATTAGCGCAGGATAGGAAGGAGTGTCCAACCAGTCTCAGGACTGACGACCTTATGATGATGACTATACAACCGTGGCATCATGAGGAAGAAACTTTTATGTTAACTGTTATATAGATTTACACATATATGTTTAAAAATATATTACCTTTATATGTGTGTGTGTGTATTTGTCGGGATTGTTCTTATGGAACTTTACATTTGCTCTTTAATGGCAGAGGGTATGTTATCAGCAGTTATCAGAAAGAGCTGCTTTCAAAGGTAGATAAGTCATGATAAATTTAGAATTTCTAACAGTTTTAAATTTAACAGCGTTGTACGTTTAGAATTAGGCAGTATACTAAATTATTTGTCATTTCGATATAGTTCTTGTGTTCACTTTTCCTCGTCTCAATCAATATGAAAGAACTGTTACAATTTCTGTCGTTTGTTGGTATCCCGAGATAAAAATGTCCAGTCTCTCAGAGTTTCTGAAAGCGAGACTCGAGTCTCCGTCTCTCATCGAGTCTCTCTGGTGTCGCTGAGAGAGACTGTCGAGTGACTGTCAAAAAAACTATTTAGCGTCACTGTACGAGAGACTCGAATCTCTGAATTAATTTTATCGTTCGAGTCTCTCATACAAAGACTGCGAAAGATTCATAAAAGAGATACATAAAAACACTGAGAGACTGTGAAAGATTGTGAGAGACGCTCTCAGAGACGCTGAAAGACTCTGAAAGACTGAGAGACTGGAGAGAGACTAAAAAGTTTTGTCTAGGGATATCAGGTTTTGATTAACAATAACTGCGATAACGCTTTTGTCACCTTGTAGACTTTTAGTATTTACAAACGTTATAGGCTCATCTCAACGGTTTCAATTGAACTTTCTCGATGAAATTCTTTAACCAAGGATTAAATGATTATTGGTTAGGATTTTAAACGACTTCTTTAATGGAACTTAATGTGGTTTGAAACGTTGGTGAGGGTGACATTTAATGGGAGAATTGAACGAAAACGTTAACCATTAACCATAGTGATTTTGCCGTGGTACCCAGTTATTCGGTACCCAACAAAATTACTATCCGGTACATCTCTAGTAGCTACCTACCAGCTGACCGCAAACGATGCCGACTTGCCTGTTTACAGACAAAGGGTCAAAGTGCAAAGTAGTCGAAAATTGGTTTTGTACTTAATTATTACTTAAGGTATTATAGCCACAACATCAACTCTTCTCCTCGAATTTTCTTGACTTTAATTTTCCCAGAGTCAGACCAGACTACCTATTCCTCAGAAAATCCTGAGAGGAAGGAGCTTCCTGGTGCAAACTTCTTACTTTTTATATTTTTAGAATATAACACATGAATACCGTATATGGGCGAAGAAGCAGTAGTACGTAGAAATTGGTTTTCGTTCATAAACATGTGTTATAAAGATTATGATTGCCAATTCCCACCTGCTCCGACAACGAATACTACTAATAACTTTGCAATTAGCGTTATATCATGAAAATGTGACAACTAATTGCTTCATTAATAGAGAGTGCACGGTCCACTTGGAAACAGAAAAAAAAATGAACGCGGAGAAGGGAAATAGGGTTATAACAAAAACCCGTAAAACTGTTCCTTCCACTTTAGGCTTCTGTCAATTTACTGGCGGCAACTGTTCCTTCTGTTCTGCATTCTGCGTCCATTTAGTACAGTAAATTAAAAAATTAGACATTCAGGAGCTAGCGGACGGACAGGTGGTGCTAATAAACGTAAAATAAATCCATGAGTTATGGGATCCGTTCCATCAATTCAGATTACTGGAACTAATGACGACCCATGCGCAGCGGTTTCGTTTTCGACGCGGTGGCTGTGTAAGATTTGTGCATGGGTACGTCTGTGTAGATATTCTTCTGCATGTAACCACGTACGCTTTCATTACTTTCGTGGAGATCTCGTTAAAAGATTGCCATGAGTATTGAATGACTTGAGAAGATCGTGGAAAAACATAAAGAGTGCTTCTAACCAAGGCACCTGTGTTAATGAGTCTTTTTGTTCTCACTCACCTAAATGCATATACCTACATACGTATGCATCTACATACAACACATAGGGATTCTATAAAATTTTATTAGACTTTCTATTTCCTGTGTTAACTGAACGTTAATTGTATATAGGTACTGCCGTAAATATAAAACAACGTTTTTCATGAATGATTACTTAACATCTGAACAAATGACGACTTAAAAAAAAAACAATTGTATAGATAACGTACATACGTATAATATGAACAATATAATGTTTAAAATTAATTCTTTTCCGACACACTTTAATGAGAAAACAGGAGGGGAAAAAGGTTCTGTTAAAAATAACACGTGCCGCAAGACGGTCTAAGTTCATTTTTTGATTTTTGAAAATTTTTCGTGACAAATATAATTTTCTCTGNCAAATAAAATAATTCGAAGTGGTCTGTATTCTGTCGAAACTGCCAGACGCGGATCACGATTTCGATCTTTTTGGATCTCATCAGCGCGTCGCAGACAGCTCCGACAGAACACAGACCAACTTTTACCTGTTGTCTTAACAGCGCGTTTTAGAAAACACCACAAACGGCGCGGTATACGCTACAAAATATTAAAATCCAAATTTCCACATTTTCGTGTTGAAGTAATGAAATCCGTTCAAAAACACTCAAATTATGGATAAACAATTACCAACTGGAATCTGCAACCACGTATCTTTATTTATCTTTTAAATGCTCCTCCTTTTTGCGCCAATTTATATTATATTCGCCTGTTTCTTTTGCTTTCACAAACATTTTTCAACCTTACCAAAGTTCAGTTCTTTAATGTAACATATCTCTAAATCCTTTCATTAAAGAAAACATTTTATCCATTAATTATACCAATACTCGTTTGCGGTCAAATGTTGTATAAAAGATAACTCCTTGTCTTGTGCAACACAGTCAAACAGCTACGTTAGAGAGAAAATGGTGGAATTCTTGAATAAACTCATCAGCTATGGAGTTGCTGGCTTTCGGTTTGATGCGGCCAAACACATGACGCCTTCCGATTTAAAAGTTATTTATCAATCCACAAATAACCTCGACACTTCTCATGGATTCGCAGAAAATTTGAGGCCCTTTATATATCAAGAAGTAATCGATTTAGGTAACACATCAAATCTCTTTTTAAGAATGAATGAAAATCTAAACATTTAGACGTTTCAATAAAAGTAAATATTACTGTACTTCAGTACGTATTGAATTATTCTTAAAAATGACAATTTCGTTGAAGCATTCAATTGTTTCTTTTTCTTGTTGTCTTGCATGTTTTACTATAAGTGACTACTGATTACGATTCTTTAAACAGGAGGCGAAGCAGTTAAGTCTACCGAATATACAGACTTGGGAACTGTAACAGAGTTTAAATACAGTGCCGAAATAGGACGCGTATTTCGGGGTAAAGATAAACTAACTTATTTAAAGAATTGGGGAGAAGAATGGGGACTTGTTCCCGGACTAAATGCTTTCGTTTTCGTCGATAATCACGATAACCAAAGAGGCCATGGTGCCGGCGGTGAAAATATTTTAACGTACAAAACTGCAAAACAGTACAAAATGGCAATTGCCTTCATGTTGGCACATCCTTATGGAGTCACCAGAGTCATGTCTAGTTTCTACTTTGACGACAGTGATCAAGGTATGTTCAGTTAATAAACCAAAATCAAAGTTGTTGATGTATTATATATTTAAATGGTTTGAAATATTGTAAAAGTGGTACGAAAGTCGACGATTCGGTCAAATAATTTGTATGGTTATTTTCACTTTTTGATTTTCCAAATTTAGAGCCCTAAGTAGCTAATAGTTAGATATAATAAAATATTTTCAGTCATTTCTTTTGCATAACACTTTCATCATCATCATCATAAGATCGTCCAAATAACGAACGATAGAATTAAATAAAATAAAAATAATAATTATTTGATGATTTCGACAATAAAATCTCTATGGGAACACCAAGATTTCCTTCCTTACTGTAAAAATTTGATTTCAGGGCCTCCTCAAGACGGAAACGGAAACATAGTATCTCCATCGATCAAGGATGATGACACTTGTGGAAATGGCTGGGTTTGTGAGCACAGATGGCGTCAAATCTACAACATGGTAGGATTCAAGAATGCCACATTAGGTACAACTATCAAAGAATGGTGGTCCGATGGTAACCAACAAATTTCATTCTGTCGTGGAAATGCTGGATTCGTGGCTTTCACTAACGAAGGTGATTTACGACGAAACTTACAGACATGTCTCCCATCTGGAGTTTACTGTGACGTTATCAGTGGAAAATTGCAAAACGGAGCTTGCACTGGGAAAGCTGTGACTGTGGGAAGCGATGGTACAGGTTATATCGAACTTCTCAGTTCAGAAGATGACGGAGTACTTGCCATTCACATTAACGCAAAACAATCATAAACTTCTTAATTTGTATTTAAACGTTTTTACAAATTCGATTTCATTGTAACCATGTAGAAAATAAAATGATTCAAATGCATCTTTGATTATTTATTACTGTATTAAATTAAAACATTTTTACGTGGTGGCATACTTTATATTCGATAAAAGATAAAATTTATTAATAATTGCAGCAACAATCTACTAAGGGTCAATAAAAAATTATTTAATAAGTAATATAAGTCAAGAACGAGTACGGAGCTGGCAAAAGTACGCCACGCCGTGGATCACCCGCTTCACCACCCTAACTCACTTTTAGTTATGACTCACTTCTAATTGTTTTATTCTTGCTTTTTAAATGACAGCTACAATTAAGTCGACTATAGCCGAGTGGTAGATGTTAACTTACAATTTTAAATATCTAGATGACATTCAGAAGAACTAATATTGTTAAAAAAATTAACATTAACCTTACCACAATAACTATAAAATTATTAATTTTAACTTTAACATTAGGGACTAACATTAAAATGGATTATTTACACTTTGAAAGTATTGATTTTAATTTTGGTTAGGTAGGAAATGGTTTAAATTGGCTTCTTTGATTATTACGTCATATCTTACCGTAATTTAAAAGGGAACATTGGGCGTACCTACGTTCCAAAGTGTTAATATGGTATACCAACATAATTAATTTCAAATCGAAAAGAGTCATGTGCTTAGCAGCGTCAATTCTAAAGCCGGCAACTCCATAGCTTATGAGTTTGTTCATATAATCGATAATTTTTCCAGCAACATAGCTCTTACTCTAGAAATATTAACATATTGGTACCTTCATTTATTCAAATTAATAATAACATTTTTTCGTTTATTAATCTATAAACTCTAAACTCATATTTCATCTATATTAAGTTTATTAAACTGGGGTGATATTGAAGACATCCATAAATGAGTAAGAGTATATTGATATAAAAACAAAAGACGACACGTCATCGGTGCACTAAGTTTATTTGGTATGGACACTAATTATATACTATATACAAATAAAAATTAAAAAAGGCAAGTTCGCACACCACACACTGCTTCGATATACAAGCACACACAAAATACCCGATAGAAAATATACAATATGACAAATAAATCGACAAGCACACACACAATGAAAAATATACAATATAAATAACCCCGACAAGCACACACACAATGAAAAATATACAATATAAATAACCCCGACAAGCACACACACAATGAAAAATATACAATATAAATAACCCCGACAAGCACACACACAATGAAAAATATACAATATAAATAACCCCGACAAGCACACACACAATGAAAAATATACAATATAAATAACCCCGACAAGCACACACACAATGAAAAATATACAATATAAATAACCCCGACAAGCACACACACAATGAAAAATATACAATATAAATAACCCCGACAAGCACACACACAATGAAAAATATACAATATAAATAACCCCGACAAGCACACACACAATGAAAAATATACAATATAAATAACCCCGACAAGCACACACACAATGAAAAATATACAATATAAATAACCCCGACAAGCACACACACAATGAAAAATATACAATATAAATAACCCCGACAAGCACACACACAATGAAAAATATACAATATAAATAACCCCGACAAGCACACACACAATGAAAAATATACAATATAAATAACCCCGACAAGCACACACACAATGAAAAATATACAATATAAATAACCCCGACAAGCACACACACAATGAAAAATATACAATATAAATAACCCCGACAAGCACACACACAATGAAAAATATACAATATAAATAACCCCGACAAGCACACACACAATGAAAAATATACAATATAAATAACCCCGACAAGCACACACACAATGAAAAATATACAATATAAATAACCCCGACAAGCACACACACAATGAAAAATATACAATATAAATAACCCCGACAAGCACACACACAATGAAAAATATACAATATAAATAACCCCGACAAGCACACACACAATGAAAAATATACAATATAAATAACCCCGACAAGCACACACACAATGAAAAATATACAATATAAATAACCCCGACAAGCACACACACAATGAAAAATATACAATATAAATAACCCCGACAAGCACACACACAATGAAAAATATACAATATAAATAACCCCGACAAGCACACACACAATGAAAAATATACAATATAAATAACCCCGACAAGCACACACACAATGAAAAATATACAATATAAATAACCCCGACAAGCACACACACAATGAAAAATATACAATATAAATAACCCCGACAAGCACACACACAATGAAAAATATACAATATAAATAACCCCGACAAGCACACACACAATGAAAAATATACAATATAAATAACCCCGACAAGCACACACACAATGAAAAATATACAATATAAATAACCCCGACAAGCACACACACAATGAAAAATATACAATATAAATAACCCCGACAAGCACACACACAATGAAAAATATACAATATAAATAACCCCGACAAGCACACACACAATGAAAAATATACAATATAAATAACCCCGACAAGCACACACACAATGAAAAATATACAATATAAATAACCCCGACAAGCACACACACAATGAAAAATATACAATATAAATAACCCCGACAAGCACACACACAATGAAAAATATACAATATAAATAACCCCGACAAGCACACACACAATGAAAAATATACAATATAAATAACCCCGACAAGCACACACACAATGAAAAATATACAATATAAATAACCCCGACAAGCACACACACAATGAAAAATATACAATATAAATAACCCCGACAAGCACACACACAATGAAAAATATACAATATAAATAACCCCGACAAGCACACACACAATGAAAAATATACAATATAAATAACCCCGACAAGCACACACACAATGAAAAATATACAATATAAATAACCCCGACAAGCACACACACAATGAAAAATATACAATATAAATAACCCCGACAAGCACACACACAATGAAAAATATACAATATAAATAACCCCGACAAGCACACACACAATGAAAAATATACAATATAAATAACCCCGACAAGCACACACACAATGAAAAATATACAATATAAATAACCCCGACAAGCACACACACAATGAAAAATATACAATATAAATAACCCCGACAAGCACACACACAATGAAAAATATACAATATAAATAACCCCGACAAGCACACACACAATGAAAAATATACAATATAAATAACCCCGACAAGCACACACACAATGAAAAATATACAATATAAATAACCCCGACAAGCACACACACAATGAAAAATATACAATATAAATAACCCCGACAAGCACACACACAATGAAAAATATACAATATAAATAACCCCGACAAGCACACACACAATGAAAAATATACAATATAAATAACCCCGACAAGCACACACACAATGAAAAATATACAATATAAATAACCCCGACAAGCACACACACAATGAAAAATATACAATATAAATAACCCCGACAAGCACACACACAATGAAAAATATACAATATAAATAACCCCGACAAGCACACACACAATGAAAAATATACAATATAAATAACCCCGACAAGCACACACACAATGAAAAATATACAATATAAATAACCCCGACAAGCACACACACAATGAAAAATATACAATATAAATAACCCCGACAAGCACACACACAATGAAAAATATACAATATAAATAACCCCGACAAGCACACACACAATGAAAAATATACAATATAAATAACCCCGACAAGCACACACACAATGAAAAATATACAATATAAATAACCCCGACAAGCACACACACAATGAAAAATATACAATATAAATAACCCCGACAAGCACACACACAATGAAAAATATACAATATAAATAACCCCGACAAGCACACACACAATGAAAAATATACAATATAAATAACCCCGACAAGCACACACACAATGAAAAATATACAATATAAATAACCCCGACAAGCACACACACAATGAAAAATATACAATATAAATAACCCCGACAAGCACACACACAATGAAAAATATACAATATAAATAACCCCGACAAGCACACACACAATGAAAAATATACAATATAAATAACCCCGACAAGCACACACACAATGAAAAATATACAATATAAATAACCCCGACAAGCACACACACACTGAAACCATACAATATATATATACAAAACTTCGAGACAAAAAGAACCGGATATATCTATCTCTCTCTCCCTTGCCGCTGGTGGGTGGAATGTCAGAGATAGGCGAAATAACACACATGAAAAAAAAT